GAGCATGCAGACACATTGCAAGGGGTGTGACAGTCCAATTCTCGAGTGACAGTCCAGGCCCAAAGCCAGACGGTGAGGCTGGCACATCCTTAGTGCCTGAGGCCTGCTGTGCTTTCCTCTTCATGTTTTTCTCTCAACCACCTTGCTTCAGCCCCATTGAATGCATTGCTAACAACTTGAAATGGGAGGGTCTTGGCAGCTGATTGACAGACAACATGCTAGGAATTGGTTCCACAGCTGAAGCTTTAAGGGTAAAAGGCAAAGCTCGTAGTACTTCTGCTCTACTCCCCAGCTGCCTCCCAAGCCTGCCTGATGTACTCAAAAGCACAGTAGAGCCCCTGAGGCAGCAGGTAACTATTAATAAAACCAAGAAAGGGCAGCACTAAAGATCAGACCTCTCAGAAGTCTGAAAGGTGCGTCTACACTGCAGGGCTTAACCCGAAATAAGCTACACAAATTGAGCTACGTCAATTGCGTAGCTTATTTTGAAATAGGGAGTCTACACAGCACTTATTTCAAAATAGAGCACTCTTCCTCCGACTTCCCTTACTCCTCGCACAATGAGAGTTACAAGAGTCAGAGTAAGACGTCCTCCAGCTTGACAGTATTTGGACACTATTTCGAAATAACTGCCTGCTGTGTAGACGCGGACTAAGTTATTTGGGAATAGCGCTAGTTATTGTGAAATAGCGTTGCAGTGTAGACGTAGCCACGCTGCCCAGTTTGACGGCAGTCACTCAGAGAGGAAGGGTTCCTCCTGGGTACGCGGCAGACATTTACAGAAAGGGAGTGGAAAGAGCCCCAGAGAGCTCTGAGGGCTCAGGGTGGGGCAAAGAGCCCCGGGGGGAACAAACGGACAGGGCAAAGCTGTGGTCACTGAGCTGTGGTTGCTCATTCCCAAAGGGGAGCATGCCACAGAAGTGCAGCAGCCTATTGTCACCAGGGCCCCCAGGCCAGGGCACCGCAGAGGCCTGGACCAGGCCCCAGCACTGACACAGGCCTCTGCCCTTCAGGTGCTCTAGCGTGTCAGTCCAAACTTATGAGGCTCCGCCCTCCAGCAGATCCCCAGTAAGTCTTCCCTTCCTGGGGCTGCCGATAAAGGAAGCAAACACAGACTCTCAGAGTAGCTCTCAGACGGCTTCCGCAAAGCGGTGGGCCCATCGAAGCTCACCGGCGAGCATAAAGCAATGGTCCTATCACAGGGGGTTGTGCACTAGGCCTACGCTCAGCGGGCAGCTAAAGAGTTCTTGCCCTCTGGTCAGTCAGCCCATTCTCCTGGCTGATCCTGTCAGCAGCTGCATGGGGTTTCTCCCCTTTAAGCTCGTCTGACCAAGAGTTGGTGGGGCAGGTCCGCCTGAGCCACACTAGCTCGTTAACTCTGTGGGGCCCAGCATGGAGTTTGTATACCCCATCACACCAAGAACTGCATATACATCCCTCCTTTCCATGTCATTTTGGTGGCAAAGGGGAGGGTTCAGCCCTCGGCACGTTACTTTTCTCTTAAGTATTTTGAGTTTCAGTGCAGAGATAGGTGCCTGTAGAGTGACCAGGTGTCTGGTTTTTACCAGACACCTGGCCGAAAAGGGATCCTTCCAGCCCGCTACAAATGAGCGAGCCAATGAGGGAGGGTGAAAGTGAGCAACAGAGGGACGGGGAGTGGAGTGAGCCTGGTAAGACCTTGGAGAAGGGTGTTCGGTTTTCTTTGGTAAGAAATTTGGCAGCCCAGGTGGCTGGTGAAAGCATTAAAGCTTTAAATAAAGCCCTAAAATCCATTCTTCATTTTCAGAAAATGCTTGAACAACAAGTGACAAAACTACAAGATCCCTTTCTGCTTCCTGAGGGTGCTGACACCTCTCACTTCAGAGAGTGGCTGCTCCAAGAAGAAAGAGAAAATTTACAAGACCGAGAAAGACAGATAAGGGACAGGTAACAAAGAGACAAAATAGTTTAGAAGTTGGAAGTGGCTGTGGGGGCCTGCATGCAACTCCATGCAAGGTTGGGGCCTTAGTTTTATTTTATAACCTTTTAAATTATAAAAGAACAAGAAGTTTTACCTGGTGTTGCTCAGGCCTTTAATTCAAATACTTTTTTTTCCCATTTAAAATCATTGTTCTGGGGTGAGGGTGGGGATGAGGGATTCAGTATGCAGGCTGACCCAGGGAAAGGACAACCCCAGCCCTCTCTCAATGCAGCAACTTGGGGCCATGTGAAAAGCACCTCTCCTTGGCTGCTGAAAGTGGGCACTGCCAGGGGAGTGGTGCATGTCCCCCAGCTGGGGGACAGACAGACACACAGACAAACAGACAAACTTTCTGAAATATATAGTAGATAGCTATCCTTTTCTCCGCTCTGGCCCCCTGCTGGTCCAATGGGGTCCTGGCTGTCCCAGTCTCATCTCTGGCGCCTCTCAGCCTTCCTGTGGTCATTCTACAGTACACCTGTCCCTCCTACCAGACCCCTTCCTTTCCATTTTATGAGAAAATCGATTCCAGGCACATCCCATAGTCTTGGCACAAGCAAACCTTTACCTTTTTTTATATTATGATAAGAAGAAAGCTGCACACCAGATTTGCTTTTCTTAGCTCTTACCATTTAGGAGGAGTTCTTGAACAAATGGACTCATAGCCAGACAGATGCACATTTCTAAAATACATAGTAAGAAGATTAACTGTATTGGAATTGTTAATTTACTGGGTATGAATTATGTTAGATATTTGTGAAGTCAGTTGTAAATTCCTCATCTGACTTAAGCAAACAGAAATCAGACAAAGAATATAGCAGGGATTGAGCAGAAAACTGACTAGGTAAGGTGATTCCAGCTGATTCTTACCAGTGATTTACATTTTTTCTTTAAAGATATGTACAAATGATTAATAAAGAATTGGAAAAAATTAAGTGTATTGCAGAAGAAAAACGACTCCTTCGACAGGCTGAGGAAGAGAAAAAGCAACGTGAAAAAAAGAAAAAGAAACAACCTATTCTTCATATAAAAATGGAGGAGGTTAGAAACAAGAAATTGAAAGACACCATACAATTTATACGTACACAAACACACACCTTCATGAAATTGCTATCAATTTTAATTATTTGTCAGTTGACAAGAAGTTTGCCAGCCAGTCTATGAAGAATTTTAAAAAGTTGACGAACGTGGCTCCAATCATGCACATATTTATGCATGTGCTTTATGTTAAGTTTCTGAGCAGTACCATTGGATTTGATAAGGCTGCTCACATGCCTAGTATTAAACATGTGACTAAATGTTTACAGGATCCAGGTCTATGCTGGAAGTAAAAAAGAATCTGTAAATATTTAAGCCCAACAGGCAGAGTTACATTTCAGTACTTTATGGCCCTGATTTCTAGACACTGTTCTTTTTTAGGCCTGCTTTTTGCAGGCTCAGATCTTACCACAGGGGTGGGGAATAATTTTTAAAAGGGGCGGGGCCTTGGGCAGAAGGGGCGGGCCAGGATACTTCTAGTGCTTCCCCCCTACCCTGATTGGCCTAGGCTGGGGGAGCGCGAGACGTCCCCTCTCCATCCCTGCCCCGCCCCCTAGAGAGAAATACCAGCTGTTTTTAAACAGCTGGTGTTCCCTCTAGGCACCTAGCAGGAGGAGACCTCCTGCGCTCTCCCTGCCCCCAGACCAATCAGGCCCGGATTGGCCTGGAGGCAGGGAGCACACAAAGCTCATCCTCCCTGCCAAAAGTGCGCGACAGCTAGAGATAAAAGCTGGTTGTTTAGCTGGCGTGTGTCTCTAGCCACCATGCGCTCTTGCGGGAGCAAGGAGACTTTGCGCGCTCCCCTGCCTCCAGGCCCTGATTGGCCTGAGGGTAGGGGAGCAGTAGGGTGGCTGCAGGCTGGATGCACTGGCTTGGCGTGCCAGATCTGGCCTGCTAAGGGCCCTTTGCCCTCCCCTGTCCTACCATCTAGTTATGTACCTGGCATGAAGTCCTGGCTCCTATAAGGCCCAATTCCCAGTGAATTCAATGAGGCAGGATTTCACCCCAAATTTCAGCTCACAAACGGGTGTTTAGAAAACTAAATAACAGGACTGGTGCTTATGACAATCTGTAGGGACAAAGTGAATACAAATAGCATTTTTCTAGATACGGAATTATGACTACAAGCAAGGCGATCACGCTGCACCGAACAAGGTGTTCCTAGAGCTCCATAGTCCAAGTGTCAGAGCATGTAGCTTTGCAAGTCAGGGATTCTAAACAGATCGTAGCTGAAAGAAAAATCATGAAGAATGCTTGGCATTCTGCTATCCCACCAGCCCCTGCCAAGCCAATAATATTTCTACTGTTTGTAGAATTTAGTATGTTGGGGAAATAATTTTATAGGTATCAAAATTATCACTGTGGCTACATCATTGACTGCAGTGATCTGACTGTAGGAATGATTTTGGCCAAAAGTGTTTAAAATGTATAGATAATGAACAGAAAAACGTTAAACAAAGCAGCAGAGGAGTTGTACACACAAAGTAAAATGTGCATATAATTATTGCATGATAAGATACATCTATGATCCCTAGGAATGGAAGCAAAAAGAGATGTTACTTCTGCTGAAAATTGGTGAGGATGTGAAACGAGAAGCAAGAATTGAGGAACTGCGAAGGAAGAGAAGAGAAGAGAAAGCTAAAAAGGTGAAGAGAAGAGAAAGCTAAATTTCTTTAGAATTGACGTGCCACATTATATATAACTTTTACCTATATGGTGTTAAAATATAAGCTTTTTAAAATCTCATGAGGACTTCCCAGTGCTACATTGGGTCCCAAAGCCAAATACATGATTAACCTCACACATGGTCAGGAATTCCATTTACTTCAGTTGTTAGTGACTGTAGTGTACTTTTTGGTTTGCTGTAATTGACATTGGCAATCCGCTATGACAGGGATGTCAGAACTTTATAGACTAAGGGCAATCTTCTGACTTTCTGTTTGACACTTGTCAACTGGCACTTCTGTTCTTCTGGGTTCTCTGCTGTGTTCATTGATGTCCAGAAGGAGGCACTGGTGTCCTTCCTCCCCCTTCCCACCCCCCCGCCTCCTCCTTCTGTTCTGCAATGTGATTTGTCCTTTTCATATTTGTTCATTTTTTTAAATTGTATCCTTTGGTATATATGGTTGTGACTACTTTCTTCCACTATTTGATCTGAGGAAGTGGGTCTGGCCCACGAAAGCTCATCATCTAATAAACCATCTTGTTAGTCTTTAAAGTGCTACATTGTCCTGCATTTTGCTTCAACTACCCCAGACTAACACGGCTACATTTCTATCACTATTCTACATGCAAGGCACTACATTTAGCCGTTTGGAATGGAAATCCATCAACCATATGAAGAAACTCGCACAGATACAGACAGACATCATCTTTCTATCCAAGTGCAAGAAAATGGACATCGTACCCAAAGGACTGAAAGTGAACAATCCACTAAGATCAACATACTTCACTGACTACAGTGAAAGACTCTGCCTCACACTATCCAAGAAATTAAGAAACCACCTGATAAGTATTTTATACAAGAAACAGAAAACCATCAAGAATGACATTTCTAACTTAGATCGTCTCATCTCAAGACAAACATCCACACCGACTGACACCTTGCAAGACTTTTGTTCCACCAGACAAGAAATCTACTATACACACTTCTATTCCCTACAACAAAGAAAAGACAATAAATTTTCTAACCTGCTCCATACCACTGGCTACAACAGCAACTGCCTCAACCCACCGGATAATATTGTTAACCTCTCCAGCTACAAACTCAATCCAGCAGAAGAGTCTGTCTTGTCCCGGGGTCTCTCTTTCTGCCCCACGTCCCCCACAAACTGGATACAATTTTGTGGTGACCTTGAGGCTTTTTTTCGCCGCCTCCGTCTCCGAGAATATTTCCAAACCACCACTGAACATCAATCTGACCTACCAGATCCCCCCTACCAACACCAAAGGAAAAATAATTCTATATGGACTCCCCCTGACGGTCGGAATTACAATCTGGATTTCTATATACACAGCTTCCGCAACAACGCACAGACTGACATTATTCGCAAACGACAACAAGCGACACACAATCTTAGCCGCGCTGAACACCATGCCATCCAGAGTCTCAAAAACAACCTGGACATTGTAATCAAACCAGCTGACAAAGGGGGTGCTGTGGTCATTATGAATAAGGCCGACTATAACCAGGAGGCAACCAGACAACTCTCGAACACCACATTTTACAAACCTCTCCCCTCTGATCCCACCTTGGACTACCAAAAGAAACTACACTGTCTCCTTAAAAGCCTCCCCACAGCTACTCGGGAACAAATCCTCACAGAATCACCTTCTGACCCCCGACCAGGATTGTTCTATCTACTTCCCAAGATCCATAAACCTGGGCACCCCGGACGTCCCATCATCTCTGGTATTGGCACGCTCACTACTGGTCTATCCAGCTATGTAGACACTCTTCTCAAACCCTTCGTAACCAATACCCCCAGCTATCTCCGAGACACTACTGACTTCCTAAGGAAACTACAAAACATCGATAACCTCCCCAATAATACCATCCTTGCCACCATGGATGTAGAAGCTCTATATACCAACATCCCACATGAAGACGGATTACAAGCAATTAGAAACACTATCCCAGAGGACACTACTGCCAACCTGATAGCAGACCTATGTAACTTTGTTCTCACCCACAATTATTTCCGGTTTGAGAACAACTTATACCTCCAGATCAGCGGCACAGCCATGGGTACACGCATGGCCCCACAGTATGCTAACATCTTTATGGCTGACCTAGAACAACGTTTCCTCAACTCCCGTCCCCTTTCACCCCTCCTCTACCTACGGTACATCGATGACATCTTTATGATCTGGACACATGGCCAAGAAACACTGGAGATATTCCACAGAGATTTCAACAACCTACACCCCACCATCAACCTCAGCCTGGACCATTCTACACGAGAGATCCACTTCCTGGACACCACCGTACAAATCAACAATGGAAAATTAGACACCACTCTCTACAGAAAACCCACTGACTCATACAGTTACCTACATGCATCCAGCTCCCATCCAGAACACACCACACGATCCATCGTCTATAGCCAAGCCCTTCGATACAACCGCATCTGCTCTAACCCCACTGACAGAGACCAGAAGCTTCAGGATCTCTACCAAGCATTTATAAATCTCAACTACCCACCCAGAGAAATAAAAAAGCAAATTGAAAGAGCCAGACGAATACCTAGAAACCATCTACTTCAAGACAGACCCAAGAAAACCAACAATAGAACACCACTTGTCATCACCTACAACCCCCAACTTAAACCTGTCCAACACATTATCAATAAACTACAGCCTATATTGGAACAGGATACCATACTCAAAGAGGCTCTGGGAGACAGACCCATAGTCTCCTATAGACAACCACCTAACCTCAAGATGATTCTTACCAACCACCACAGGACATACCACACTAATACCAACCCTGGTACCTTCCCTTGCAACAAACCCCGTTGCCAGCTTTGTCCACATATTCATTCTGCTGATACCATTATTGGACCTAACCAAGTGAGTTATAAGATCAAGAACACATATTCCTGCGCATCCAGAAATATAATCTATGCTATCATGTGCCGAAAGTGTCCGTCTGCTATGTACATTGGACAAACATCTCAGACACTTCGCCAAAGGATTAATGCCCACAAAACAGATATCAGACAAGATCACAAAGAGAAAACAGTTTCTTGCCACTTTAACCAGAAAGGACACTCTCTAAATGACTTAGCCACCTGCATTCTGCTACAAAGACCTTTTACATCTGCACTTGAAAGGGAATCCTCTGAACTGTCATTCATGTTAAAATTCGACACTTACCACCAGGGACTTAACAAGTCTTTGAACTTTCTCACCCATTATCAAGACAGTTTCCCCAATTATCACCTGTAATACCATTAACTCACAAACATCCCACTCTCCCTACCTCTAATATCATCAATTCACAGACACTTACCTTCCTTCCTCCCCCTTCCCACCCCCCCGCCTCCTCCTTCTGTTCTGCAATGTGATTTGTCCTTTTCATATTTGTTCATTTTTTTTAATTGTATCCTTTGGTATATATGGTTGTGACTACTTTCTTCCACTATTTGATCTGAGGAAGTGGGTCTGGCCCACGAAAGCTCATCATCTAATAAACCATCTTGTTAGTCTTTAAAGTGCTACATTGTCCTGCATTTTGCTGGTGTATAGCAGGTTTCTTTGTTTTTTTCCTCATAGGAGCATTTGAAGTTTCATTCATTTCCAAGGGCTAGCCTCCACTAGAACCGGATGCAGCAGCACCACTGTAGCACTGCTACAGCCCATGGGAGAGAGATCACCCTTGGCATAAATTATTCTACCTCCCTGAGCAGCGGGAGCTATGCTGGCAGGAGAGCTTCTCCCGCTGACATACCACTGTCCACACCAGTGCTTAGATCCATGTAATTTACGTCGCTTGGGAGATGGCTTTTTTATACTCCTGAGCAACATAGGTCATACTGAAGTAAGCACTAGTGTGCACAAGCCCCACAATTATATTTTTGAATTAGAGTGACCACCCGATATTATCAGAACCATCCCAAAATTAGGGGCTTTGTCTTATGTAGGCAATTATACCACCCACCCTCTAAAAAAAAGTGTGCTGATTTTCCACGTGCTATCTGGTCACCCTAGAAGGTCACCCCAGTATTCAAAAGCATTCCCTCCTTTTAATGTTTCAAAATGATGCGCATATTAGAGTATATTTTTTTAGTATTTCTCATCCTTACACAATACAGTTCATTTAATTTTCAGGGTATAACAACCAAGAAAATATAACTATATTATATCTTCTACATTTAATTTCAGAGATTTCAGGGATTACAATAGAATAAGAGACATCAAATTAAAGGAAGACAGTTTATCTAAATGTAGAGACAATCTGATTCCCAATCTCATCTCTGTAATTTACTTTCTTTGTAGCTTAATTAACTCTAAATTCGCAACATGTCCCCTTAAGAAAATAATCCTACAAGCTTGTTTGATTTTGGAGACTAACCTCTGTAATGAGACAGAAAGGAACTCCAATTAACACATTTGTAAATTAATGAGAGATTCTTGACACAGTGACTAACAAACATTCCCATTTCGGTTCCACTAGGAATTCAGACATTGATTTAAATGTATTTAGGTTTTTTTTATAGACTGTATGTCACATGTATTGAAATTGGAGTTACACTTCTATTGTCCAAGTCTCTAAGTGGGGTTAGTGTTGGATTGGCACTTTAGGGAGCTGATAGATAGATATTAATTGTTGGTGTTATTAATTAATAGTGACAGATACCAGATTTTTAATTTAAAAATTAGATGGAGCCATGGGTATTAAAAGTCACTAATACATTCAAAGTACGTTTAATGTCTCTACATATCATACTGATAATTAATACGTTGATTGATAAAATGTTATAAAAGTTTGTTCAAACTTTTATCAAAATACACTAAAGAACATTCTTTTGCTTTATGTAACAATCTTGTGTTAAATGTCTCTAACATTTTTCTTAAAATATTTTAGAAACGAATAGTGCTAGAGAAAAAAATGGCATATCACCTGAGAAAATTGCAAGAACATGCTAATCAAAGGGTAGAATTTGAAAGTCATGTAAAGTGCCTGAATACGCTGTTATCTGAAGACCCAAGGATTAAAAATCAAGGTATGTATAAGCATCATGTAATACAGATAATGTGCAGAATTGCCATTTGCCTCTATCTTGTCTCCCAGGCCAGCAAATATGGTTACTTTACTACCACTTCCAAAATGTCACCCTATCTCTGAGTCCCTTTTAGAGGAATTCCTCAATTAGTAGAAAGAACTGAAAAGAGAGTGGAGGGGTATGGGAAGTAACCCAGTAGACACGGTTTTCTAGAAGATTCCTGCTTTGTGCACTAGGTACACACTTATGCCAAAGGCATATAGGAGATATCTAACAAGCTGGCAGAACGCTGGTAAGATTAACATATTTCAGAGAGACAACTGAAGTAAAGAAGGACAAGAGACATGTAAAATATTGTAAATTGCATAAATTGAGAAGTGGTGTGGTGGAAACAAATCTTTATTGTTACTTAGTTAAGAGGGTTGGCATAATTTGCATGTGGTGCCTCTATTTGTCAGGAGTACGTTTCTGACAATTCTTTTTGCATTCCCATAATCCCACTTCCTCTATAGAACAAGGTATTTGACATTATTTATTGATCACTTTGGGTTTTTCTCTCAGGCAATGGTGCCATGAGTCCCTCTCGTCGCTCTTCACTTCTTAACAAAGAAGAAATTTCAAAATCATCACTTTCTTCAGTAACATCTCAACCTACCTCTGATGCTGTCATGAGCAAGACCAGCAGCTCCTTAAAGGTAGGAAGCCACCTCCCGGACAGGTCTCAAATGTAAAATTAAAGCTCACATGTTGAAGCATGTAGACGTGTTTTGTATCTAAAGGCTACATGTTGTTTATTCATAGATTCAGAATGAAAGACCAGATCATCTAGATGAATCTCCTGTGTATCCCAAGACATTAAGTTTCACCAAGTTACCTCTGTGTTGGGCTTAATAGCTTCCTTTTGATTATAGCATAACTTCCAAAAAGACATCCAGTCCTGATTTTCATTCATCAACAGATTGAGATTCCACCATGTCCATGTTTTGTTCCAATGATTAATTCCTCTCACTGGTTAAAATTTCAGAGGTAGCCGTGTTAGTCTGTGTCAGCAAAAACAAGGAGTCCAGTAGCCCCTGAAAGACTAACAGTTTATCATGGTATAAGATTTCACGAGTTACAACTCACCTCAGCAGATTGCAGCTCACAAAAGCTTGTGCCATAAAGTTTAGTCTTTAAAGTACCACTGGTACCACTGCGCATGGGCAGCGCATGCGCAGATCGCTCTGTGCATGCGCAGATCGCCTGAACCCGGCTCTTCCGGGTTACAATCTACTCGCTACGGGTGAGTAGATTGTATTATCTGTCGAGCCCTGTTGATTAACATTTGTATCTAACTTCTAATTTGAATTTGTCTGGCTTCTGCATAGAGCTATTAGTTCTCATGATACTTTTCTCTGATAGATTAAAGAGCCCTATATTACGTTTTTTCTCCTCGAAGAAACTTATGCCCTAATCAAGCCACATTTCAATGTTCTTTTTAATATGCAAAACATATTGAACTCTGTAAATCTCTCATTGGAAGTCATTTTCTCTAACTCTTAATACTTTTTGTGGCTCTTTTTTGCACCCTTTCCTATTTGTCAAAATTCTTTTTTAAAAAGTGTACAGCAGAACTGGATGCAATAATCCTGTATCAATCTCATTAATGTCATATATGGAGGGAAAACTCATTTCTTTACTCCTACTCACTATGCCCCAGTTTACACATCCAAGGATCACATTAATGCTTTTTTTGCTACAGCACTGCACTGGGAGTTCATGTTGAGTTGATTGTCCAGTGTTGTGACCCTTAAATCATAGAACCTTGGGGTAAGAAGGGACCACAAGGGTCACTTAGTATAATCCCCTATAAAGATGCAGGATTTGTTATGTCTAAACCATTCAAGACAAGTGGCCGTCCAGTCTCTTCTTGAAAATCTCCATTTAAGTAGCTTCCACAACCTCCCTTGGCAGCCTGTTCCATTGTCCCACTGTGCGGAACTTTTTCTAAGATTTAATCTAAATCTGCTATGCTGTAATTTGAACCTGTTGCCTATTATCCTGCCCTCTTTGTAACTTACCTCTGGATCCTTTCCAGCTTCCTCTACATCCTTTTTAAGCACTGGGGACCAAAACTGGACACAGTACTCTAGCATAGGCCTAATCAGCATTGAGGAGAGCTGTACTGTCACCTCCCAGGTCTTGCAAACAATGCATCTCTGTTAACACCACCTAAACTTGTATTTGTTTTTTCCCCCCAGCAGCTTTGCATTGTTGACTCATGCTGAGGTCAAGGTCCACCACAACTCCCAGATCCTTCTCAGCAGAACTTCTGCAAGCTAGTTATCCCTCATTCTGTATTTGTGCATTTGTTTTCCTCCATAATTGCAGCACCTTACATTTGTCTTTGTCACTTGATAATTCCTTGTTTTGTTCATTCCCTCTGAGGAACTTCTTTGTAAAAGGGAATTAGAAATGATCATAAATAGCAGCTGCTAACGAGAGTCTGACTTACCTGAAGAGTGAGGAAAGGGTTAAGCTACCGGAGATGCACCTGAGGGAGGGGTCTTGGGCATTCAGCCAATGAAATGCAGATAGGAATTTAAAACCGAGAGAGAGGGGGTTTTCTTTCTCTCTTCTTTGTTTGAGATCAGAACAGTTTTTCCCAGGTATGGAGGGAGACAGGCTTTCCCAGGAATGGACTTCTTGAAATGTGTAAGTAGGGAAAAGTTTAGATAGTTTGTCAGGTTTTATTGTTTTCCTTGTTTGTAGGTTTGGAAATCATGTTTGAGCTGGCTAATTGTTTTTCTCTTTTGTAACTAAGGATTATGACCCAGGGATTTTCCCTGAGTCTATTTCACTCCATGGCTATTTAACATCCAGTCATTTACTATGCTTGCAACAATAGTTTGATAGTAAAAGTTTTTTCCTTTTTGTTCTGATTAACTGGTATAGGTTGATTGTTGTGCCTTAAGTTTGCAGTTACCTAGGGGGAGAAGAGCCCCATTGTTCTCTGAAGGATTCCCTCTGTTTTTCCAACTCCAAGTAAAATGGAGTATGGGGAAGGGGAGGAGGTTTGTCTTAGGGAAGGGATTCCCAAGTGATTTGGAAAGGGTTTATTTTATGTCTTTAAGTACTCTTGGGTGGTGGCAGCAAATTTTTATTTTTTGTCTTGGATCTCAGGAAAACTGAGACCAGACAAGTTTATCTCTGGGAGTTACAGAGACAGGTTATACAGAGTTTATTCTACTAGCCAGCCCTCCATCTCTACACTCAGAGTGTCAGGTTGGGGAATCGAGCCATGACAGAACCCATGAATCCTGTTTGTACATGACTGATGTAAGGTAGGGAAACATTTGCAAAATTCATAATACATAATTGTTTCTTCTACATGTTTTATTTTGCAGAAAAATGTATACTCTGATATTGATGAGAAACTTTTGGACAAAGAGCCAAGTAGGGAATATGAACTGGGTAAGTCAGTGGTCTCCAACCTTTTTACACCCAAGATCACTTTTGAAGTCTCAGAACAGGCAAAGATCTACCGCCCCGCCCCTTCCTTGAAGCCCCGTCCCTTCCTTGAAGCCCCGCCCTCTCTATTCTCCTGTCCATCACTTGCTATCCCCAGCCCTTGTACACTCTGTTAAACAGTTTTTTTAAATTATGCAATATATAAAATTAAAATCACATTTATAGTTATGAAATAAATGGTCTGTTTTTAATTCATGCTATTTAAATGTCAAATGAAGCATTTACAATTATACATTTTGTTCTCTGCTATTTCGTAAATCTAAAATCAAGTATTGATAATTATGTATTTTTTCTTCCAATAACAAAGTCTCAGTGTGAAACCTGTGACTGAACAGTATCTGCCAGTGTCTTGAAGTCTGGGTTGTAGTCTGAGATTGCTAGTCGTATACAGTCCATCAGATGGGCATCTGTGATCCTGCGCTCAGCCTGGGAAGCTTGCTCCAGCACAGTTGGAGTTAGACACAGCCTCCCTGGGCTGAGCGCAGGGCAGCCGGGCTGGAGGGAAGAGAAGTGGCTGCCCGGCCAGCTGGCCATGGCGCTCAGCCAGGGTGCACCAAGCTCCACGTGGGCAGGCGCAGAAGAGAAGCCGCCAATCAGATGGTTGGAAGCCACAGTCAGCTGACTGGGGTGTTTCATCCCTCCCAACCTCCGAGCTCCCACCATTCCTCGCAGCTACTCACCTGTGTTGTTGCTCGGTGAGTAGCTGCTCCTCAAATAAGGAAATCTAATGTAAATGTACTTTGCATGCGCGCAGTTCAGAGAGGGCTCAAGAGCTAATCTTAGAGCCCCTGAGATCTACCGGTAGATCGCCACAGCATATTTAATATTCCTGTGCTATTAGGCTTGGAGCTGTTAAAGCTAACACAGGTACATGTGGAAGGAGACAGGGCCCATATTCAGGTCCACAACCATGCTCTCCAAGTGCAGTTTGCTCCTTTGTGGATGGCCAGTGCTGGGACTGCATCACCTAAGTAATGAAGATTTAAATAGAAACTCAGTGGTACATAGGCCTTAGCTGGCATTCTATGGTGGTGTAAATTTCACTAAGGGTACGTCTAAATTGCAAGGATCTATCGGAAAAAGATACACAAAATGCACTCTGCATTTTGTGTATCTTTTTCTAATACTTTTGTCAGAAAAGGCTTTTCCGAAATTTGGCCCATCTAGACTGGGCCAAATTTCAGAAAAAAAACCCCCTCTTTCAAAAGCCCCCATCATCCTTGTGGAATGAGGAATACAGGGGCTTCCGGAAAAAAAAGTGGAAGAGCAAACACATTCCCTGGCTGCAGTGGAGTTTTTTTGGGATACTTCTGGTATCCCGAAAAAACCCTGCAGTCTAGCCATACCCTAAGTGAATATACTGTGCACCACAGACGTTTTTACATGCTGTCTATCAAATAAATCCAAATTAATGTAATTTCTTTGTTTGGCTGAATTTCCTTTTTCTAAATACCTAGAAAATTCCATACCAAAAACTAAACTAAGGTTGAAATAGCAAAATGAAGCACCCCTTACTTCGTTTTGTGTGTACAGTCAGTTTACCTTGATTTTAATACATATGGATGAGTTAAGCTAATTACCTATCCCAATAATACATAGAAAACCATAGAAAAGTCCTTCATCTTTCCTTTTTGCCTAACAGAAAATCCAGTTTCTGAATGAATGTATTTGAAGATAAATGCATGAAAAAATGAAATAGCACCCGTCTGTTTTCTCCCTGCAGTAAATGCTCCAGGCCAGGTAAGTAAACCAATAATCTTTTTCTCCTCTACCTCAGGCCAGTCCCCCTTGCCCAGAAGCAGCAGCAGCATCAATGACAAACTTTCTGTATCTGCCTCTGGGGAGTATTCCCAACAAGCAACCAGTAGCACTCTCGGTGATCTTTCCATCTCTGCCTCCGTGGAGCACTGCGCAGAAGCAGTCAGTAGCAGCACGAGCAAACTCCCCATTTCGTCCTCTGGTAAGTGGCCCTCCATTATGGAAGGATGCCAGTCTCTGCCATCGGTACTGTTGAAAGTTTCCATTAAAAGCCCATTTTTGATGCTCACTAATGGTACCGCAACTGACTTAAATAGCACAGTATAAATATTCAAAAGCATGGTACATCTTTGAGTGTCACTTTTCTTAACCATGAAAACGCTTGTATTTCAACGACCATGATAAAAATTTTGAACAACTATAAAATTAATGTTATATTGTCCTTTGGAAGTTGCTAATTCTGATGTCTGTGTTTCCAAAGACATTTACATACTCCCTAAAGCAAAGTGAGACAAAGTCTTACAAATGAAAAAAAAAAAGGCATAAACCATGAAGTGGTAGAGTATTGTACAGTAGTTGTATTTTCATGTGATTTATGAACATTCTGTATAGTTCACTCATTGTTCTGTTAGTACAGCACCTAATACCATGGGGTTCTGGACCATGAATGGAAGGTCCTAGGAGCTACCACAATACAAACAAATAATAATGACTTCTCCCTTTGTGAGTAACATACTCATCTCATACTCATCACCATAGACTTTTTTAAAATCGTTTTCAATTCTCACATCTTTCTATATATAATACTAGTTGATTTACCCAGCATTGCTCAGGTCGTTAACGCAAATAAGTTTTATTTTTCTTCATTTAAATCATTGTTCTGGGGTGGGGTTGAGGATGAGAGGTTCAGTATGCAGGTTGCCCTGGGGAAAGAGGACCACCCCAGTGCTCATTCACTGCAGTAGGTAAGAGCCAAGTGAGAAGCACCTCTCCATGGCTGCTGCAGCTCTATCAGGCACTGCTGGGAGAGAGGTGCATGTCCCCTAGTGGGGGGACAGAAACCCACAGATGGACACACAGACATAGTCTATGAAATATAGAACAGATGGCTGTCCTTTTCTCCATCCATCCCCTACTGGCCCAGTGGAGTTATACCTAATCCCTATCTCTGGCCCCTTGCTGCCTCCTATGGTCATTCTGCAGTGTAACTATCCCTCCTGCCAGACCCCTCTCTTTCCATTTTATGCGAAACAATTGAATTCCAGGCACATCCCATTATCCTGACACAACTAACCCCTGACCTTGTTTTGAGCTGTGATAAAAGGAAGCTCTTACCATTGAGGAGGAGTTCTTGAACAAATGGACTCACATTCACACATTTCTAAAATATATAGTAAGATTCAGAAAGTTGAAAATTATTCTTAATTTTCCCCAGGAACTAATCTCTCTCGTCAACCTTCAGTTGATGGAAAAATTTGTACGATAACTTCACTCTCTTCAGTAGTCTCTCAACAAGGCTTTGATGAGATTGCTAATAACGTCACCAACGAAAAAAGAAAATCTCTTCGGGTATGAAATGATTGTACTTATTGATCTCAAATATAAAGCGAGAAGTAACAGATTGTTGGATGCATGTCGCTGTTTCATGTATGAAATTTATTGAGCTTGTATAGTCTTAGCATGCTGGTCATGTTCAGTCTTTAAAGAAATGCTGTATTCGTGTTAGTTTTGTGATGCACATTTGTTTGGAAGGAAGCTGTTGCAAACTGCATGGGAGTTTGCTTGCTGCTGTAATCTCTCACACTAAGGTCAACTCTTGTGGCATTGTTTCTTGTGGTAATCAGGCACTGGTGACTTCTGAAACAGGATTTGCCTGCATGTTCTTTGTGACTGCTTCTGTTCACGGATTAATGTATATAGTGTTAATAAGTCACACTAAGAATCTACCCAAATTCCATATTAATGATTTCTCCTTCAATGGGAAGTAAACCTACAAGGTACATAGATCTGTTACTACTTGGTTAAGAGTTGACAGTGTTTTCCAAAGGGACTTAATGCAATGGGGGGGAGGAATAGCTTAGTGGTTTGAGCCTTGGCCTGCTAAACCCAGGGTTGTGAGTTTAATCCTCATGGAGGCCATTTAGGGATTTGGGGCAAAAATTCATCAGGGATGGTACTTGGTCCTGCTGTGAAGGCAGGGGACTGGACTCAATGACCTTTCAAGGTCCCTTCCAGTTCTAGGAGATAGGCAATCTCCATTAATTAATAGATCTGCACTCTGTTGCCCCTGATGTTTCAGACTAGATTAGTTCAACTTTGGGAGTCAGCTCTCCAGGAAGGTATTGATGTGAACAGGATGTTGAGCTATGCATTGTGTAAGGAGAAAGACATTTGGAGACTCTCCCTGGTCACCTGTAACTCTTGGGGACAGGTCTATCAAGGAATCTATGACTCATTACTCTGCATTCAGATTTATCTGATGCTGTTGTCTTTTAATCTGGGGATTTCGTGGCTCATTGTCTTGGACAGATGCTAGTGCCGATGGCATTATGTCACCAGTGTGGCAATTGCCCAGTGCTCCTCTCGAAGAGCATTCAGAAGATCTGAGGAAAGAACCAATTCAAACTTAAAACTTCACCACTCTTTAGGTTTCCCTCCCACAAGACACTGCTGAAAGGCAAAGCCATCCCTCTTTTTGCTTGAGAATAAGAGAGAATTTCGGGTCAGCACAAGAAAAGATATTTAGTTCTCAATGTTTTTATCCCCCAAAGGAAGGGTCATTTTAGAGCCATTCTGGATCTTCAGAACCTCATTACATTTCTCAGTTGGGAGAAGTTCATTAGGGGGATTCTCAATCCTGTAATCCCCTTGGCGAATAGTTAGGGTTGCTTTGGTGCTCTTGCCCTTCAGAACACCTACTTTCATCTCTGTGGAGCTCCCCCATGGAAAACTTCTTAAGTCCATTGTTGGAACTAGCCACGCCCAATACAAGCTCATCCCTTTCAGGCTGGCTTCTTTGTCAGAGGCTTTAACAAAGAGCACAGCAGTAGGGGCTGCCCACTTTTAAACAGGTTTTCCAGATATTTCCTGACTGTAATTACTGTATTGTAAACGGATCCTACTCTGGGAGTGATTCAAGCTCTATGGACTTGCTCCCGTTTTGAGAGTTTGGGCCTGCACTCACATTTTAATATGCATTGGAACTAGAGGACTTCAGATTCTGATTTCAACCTGCTTCGGTTTTTTTGCAGCCCTTTTGTCCCACATGTTACAGTGGAGTTAGTCTTCTACGGGCTTAGTTTCTACACAGATTTAGAATTAGCTAGGCACGTTCTGAGACAAGCAAAAGGTGCAGACTGTGTCATTAACTGTGAGAGATTATTAGATTTTTAATTTGAAAACCAGAAGAAACCATAGGTATTAATAATTTCTAATTCATTCAAGGCATATTTGATGCCTATACCTAGTACAGTGGTGTCTACTATAAAAGTTTGAATGCAAACACATCGGAATATCATTGCACTTACAACTTTTCTTTTGCTCTATGCCATCCCTTTAAAAAGTTCACATTTTTCTTAAATCTCATAGAAACAAGAAGAGCTGGAGAACACCATGGAGCTACAGGAACATGATTATCCCAGGGAAGAACACGGAAATCACAAAGAGGGCCTAGGTGAGCTATTATGGGAATACCGAGAAATGAAATCCCCAGGTCTAAAAGCATAAGATAATAAGTGCAGTCACTGCAACTGATGTTGCCTCTGTTTGTAGGTATGGTCACATTACTACCACTTCCAAAATGCCTCCTTTCTCCGGCAGCTTTTGTATATAGGGATTCCTCAATCAATGGAAAGAGCTGAAGACTGATTGAGGCAACTTATCCTTTTATATCTTCCTAATCCTGCAGGAGGGTGAAGTACGGCCAAGTAGTCCCAGTGGACCCTGCTGTCTACGGGATTTCTACCTGTGCACTAGGGACTTGCCTCTACCAGATGTACAGGGGGTCATTTTTTGAGGAGTAACATTACTTCGAACCAAAGGGTTTGGTTCGAACGAACGCGTCCCAGCGCGCACTTTCACTTTCGAAACAGCTGTTGATCATAGTAATGTGCCGGCAAGATCATGCTAATGAAGTGCGGGATATTTAAATCCCAGCTTCACTGACTATTTCGAATCCCTACATTTGCATCCCTAGGGTGCCAGTGTAGACATACCCTACCTCTGCTCGTGGGGCTGAGCTGCTTTCAGCACTTGCTGTGCTTAAGACCGTTTCCCCACAAGAAATGGTCCATCGGAGGGAAATAAATGTCAATTTTGATTTTTTTATTATTTAAAAATGATTTGACCTCTTGACATTTGGCACCTCGGCTGGGAGTGGAGCTGGCTGCTGGACTCCATCTGTAGGTTGACATTTGCCTCTTAGTGCTGTGGGATCCCTTTTGAGTGTGACTTGGTTTATTTGGCCTTGAAAAACCCTCCTGGCACATGGGCACAGACTGGCACAAAGGTGAGTGGATTTAGGCAATCTTCAAAGCATGCTGCATGCAGTACGCCTAGCTGAGCCAAACATGCATCTCAAAGGACTCAAGAGCTGTGTGGCTTATTCTCCCATGGGCTGGTAAAAGTGACCCTTCTCTGGTCTCTCCTTTCAACCTAGAAGGAGCACAGCGCTGAGAACTGGGTGGGCCTGAATTCTAGTTCGATTTCTTCCAAGGGCTGGCCTGAATTCTGTGAACTTTACAGTCTCCCTGGAGCTGTGCAAAATTGTTTTGACAATTAGTTTATCTGCAGAAAAAATAGTCTTTCCGGTGGCTGAAAACACATGTGAATTTGGCAACTTGTTTTGGCTCCAAAAATGAAAAAGTGCAAACAAAATCTAAACCTTTTGTTGCATCATTTTTTCAATGACATGTTTTGACTTTGTTTCAAAAATAGCTAGATTTACTGTTTAAAAGCCACAGCTTATGGCTGCTCTCTCAGGCGGAGAGCTGCAGCCCCCTCTTCTAGACTCAGCCCTCTAGCTAAGTCATCGGCCGTGTTTCCAGGAGTACGCATCTCTGTCCAACAGTCCAGCTACTTCCCTGTGGCAAGTGCCGGAGACCAGGGTCTTCCTACTACTCTAGGCCCCAAATCAGGCATCCTGCAAACAGCAGCCTCCTACTGGTCCTCAGTAACTTGGTCAATGCTTCTCTATTTCCCTGGCCCAACACCTTCTTAGCCCTTATTGCAGGATCTCAGCTGCTTAGCGTCAGGAGCCAGCCACTGCTCTGTCCAAGGTGCTCGCAATCTCTCAACCCTCTGGGGCACAGGCCTCACTCCCTGGACTCCGAGCAGCAACTGAACTAGTCTGCCCTGCAGCTCCCTTTTTAAATAGGGGCCTCCTCCTATTGGCTGCTCTCCTATTGACTGCTTCCCGCACAGCCCCTCTCCTATTGGCTGCTTCCCGCACAGCCTCCCCAAGGTTCTGCCCCACGTTGGCAGAGAAGGAATTAACAGACACTCCAGCACTCTAGAGCTCTGTGTACATACACTGTATATCCATGTTTGTTATTTATCTTGATTTTGTACATATGGATGGGCGAATTTAAGTATCTATACCAATTTTGCCTCTAGTTCTTAGAAAAGTTAATAACTTTTCCTTTTTGCCTCACAGCAAAATGAATACATTCCTTTCTGGAAAAATACTTTGAAAGTCAAACAGTGACATTTCCCTTTAGTAAATGCTCCAGCCAGCTTAGACAAGCTTTGATAATCTGTTCTTCTCTCTCAGGCCAGCCTGCCTTGCACGAAAGCAGCAGCAGCATCAATGACCAACTCTATTTATCTGCATCTGGTGAAACCCCCCTGCAAGGAACTAGCAGCTACACTAGCAAAGTTTACACCGGCGGTCCCAGCGAGAGCAGCAGACCTGAAAACAGCAACCTTTCCGTCTCTGCCTCTGTGGAGAGCGGTGAAGAAGCAGGCAGTAGTGACGCAGGTATGCTGCCCTTTGCTTGCTCTGGTGCGTGGCCCTCCCTTGTGGAAGAATGCTAGTCCCCATTACAGTTATCACTTAAACAAGCTTTCCTTTTGCATGCCAATTTTGATACTCACTCCTGCACATTCAATTCTGCCAAAGCTGCCTTCACTGTAATGGCACAGATTTATGTCATTGTAAACATTTCCAGGTTGTATGAGGCAGATGGGGCCAGATTCTTGGGAGATAAGTTGTGAGGTGGGGATCTTACTTCCTGGCCCTACTCTGGCTGGGTTCATTTATGGAAGCTGGGGATTGTTGGGCTGTTCATTCTTGGAATACCATCACTCAAAATTCCTGGCCTTTAAACATGAAACTGTTAAAACAGTTGAGTTAAACTGGTGCAGTGCCTCTGTGTGCCTTCACCTCATTTTCAGAGTGGGGAACGGCCATATAGCTTACCTCAGTTAAGAAGCTGTTCAGGCTGAACCAAAATAAGTGAGACTCGTAAACCAAAATAAGAGCATCCACTTACATTAAAATGGTTTAAAATCACAGACTGGGTTCAATTGGCTTGAAATTTACAAAATAAATGTAAAATGTACAAAATAAATGGTTTAAATAGTGAAGTTCTGTGGTAGGTGATGAACATTTTATTGCCACTTTAAATGAAGGTTGGTCTATGTTTCTCACTCATTGTTCTGGGTTTGGACAGTGCTTAGCATACCAGGATCCTGGCCCATGAAAAGCAAGGGGAGTCATAAATAACTCCTTCATTAGTGATCAATACATTCGTTCCAAACTCCTGGCAATCAACTCTAGCCCTCAGACCATCACGTTGTCTATATATAATCATTAGAAATCATAGAATCATAGAATAATAGGACTGGAAGGGACCTCAAGAGGTCATCGAGTCCAGCCCCCCGCCCTCAAGGCAGGACCAAGCTCCGTCTACAAATGTGATGTTCTTCAAGTATGTCTGTGTGGATCCAACACCAAATGCACATGCACCTAAATCAGAATCTTTTGAATAGCAGCGGGGAGGATATAAGGACATACATGGGCAGATACGGCCTCAATAGACACTGCTGTTCAGAAAATTCTCATCTGACTTGCCCGGGACACTTGCACCCCCGGAGTGGGATCCACATGCATAACAACAGCTCAAAGAGCCGCAACCACTGAAAGGAAAGAAACGATTCTTTATTCTTTTCCCCTCAGGTGCGATCCCTTCCAGTCGACCTTCACTTACTGGAAAGTCTTTCCCACAAACATCACCAGTCTCTCAGAGCTCCGATGAGATGGCTAGTCACATCACAAACAAAGCACAGTTCCAGGTAGGAAGTCATTGAAGATATTTTTAGCTTCATAGTTGAGATCTGTAAAAGCTGTGTGTAGCGGTGTTCCGTGTATGAAATGTACAGTGATGTAGGAGTCACCAGATGACTAGCCTGCATCCCAGAATAGAAATGGGTCTTTCCTTCCTTTGGCAGTTTCTTGCAGGTGCAAAGTATGGTTTAGGGTTTGAGACATGAGCTGGTGAAGCCAATAAAGGTCTTTCTTGTTGATCTCAGAAACTACAATCATTCTTTCACAAACTGAGAAGGGACAAAATAGGGAGAAACAGAATGGATTCACAAGACTGAGGAGTCCTAAATGACTTGAAGGGAACTGGAATAGCAGGAGGAAGAATTGCTCAGTAGAACTGAACAACAAATGGTCTGGTAGCACTTTATAGACGAACAAAACATGTAGATGGTATCATGAGCTTTCGTGGGCACAGCCCACTTCTTCAGATGACTGGAGTTCTGAGTTTGGGAAATGAAAACTGGGATCTCAATTCACAGTGAACTTAACCTTTTTCTCTGTGAACACACTGATTAAGATCTAATCACTGTTTGAAATTCTGAGCATACACATTTCTGCCCATAATTGGCTCGGCTTTCTAAACTTCACACCCCAGAATTCCTTTCAGTATCAAATATTTTTGTGATTCAGAAGTGTGACTATTCACCGTATAGCTAATAGAGAATACCCACATCTGTCCGACATGGTAGCGTTTCTGTTCCAACTGGATGACCTGCCCCTTAAACACAACTTCTTCCCAAACCATTTTTCATTTTGCAATTAAATGAATCTCTGCCACAGGTCCAAATTCCGTTTCTGCCCTGGCAGTATTTTGCTTACATGAAAGTTCATAAAAAGCAAACAATACGTTATTTATACCACCTTATGAACAAACAATTGGAGTGAATAAGCACATAAACTTGCCCATTATTGTTTGTTTCTATTACAGGACGCCATAACTGAAGAACTGAACAATAAAATCAAGACTGTCCTGGCACGGGTCGTGTCTGAATTAACAAGCATCTTATACCCCGCAGTAACTGAGTATGAAGAGAGCATTAGAGATACTGTATATACAATCTCTGAAGAGTCAACACTGTCTTCAGACAGCTCTAGTAGCTGTAGCACATGTAACGAAGAGCTCTTTGGTGCGTTTGCAAGTATTCCAACCTCCAGTACCAGAAAAACCATCTTTACAAATATAAGTATGAAAACCACCAGTTCACCAGGAAGGACACCATCTCCATTGCAGTCTCAAAAATCATCTTTCATGTCCCTGTCAAACAGCATGCCAACGTCTCTAGAAAGTGAATTTTGGAAAGAAAATGTTCACAAGGGGAAAACAGCAACACCACCTCACTCTCGTCCTGAAAGTACTTCGAGATTGCGCCGGAAAGTACTGCGCATGGGAGCTGTGTCTGAGTTTCCCACAAAGACTTTCAACACAGAGAAGTTTCCTGTTGGTCAAACTTATTTTAAACGTGAATCATCCATGAAAGATGCAGAGCCAAGAAAAGGTCTGCTTGGTGAGGATAGTTTTTCAGACTTAAATCGAGATCTTCCTGAAGGAGGCATTTTACAAAAAATGTTTGACAAGCAAAGAGCAGCAGACACAAACGACAATGACAATCTGAGAATGCTGCAGGTGGCAGAGAATGTGGTCAAGGAAGTTTTTAGGAGAGTAAAAGATCTAGGTGATTCCATCAGCCTTTTAAAGAAGGCTCCTGTTGAGCTTAGTGAAAGATTGTTCTGCAGTAGTTTTAAGAGAACTGAGTTTCCTGAGACTTTCGATAAAGATTTCCAGAAAGAAATTGGATTAGTTGCTAGAGAGATTGTAGCAACTGTTTTCGATAACTTTCACAAGTGTTTGGTATGCAGCCTCACTACAGCATCAGATGAAGAACCTGTCATAAGGAGGAAAGACCAGGCCCCTGCCAGAAGAACTAGCAGAGTTTCCAAATCAGAAAGAAATAAGCTCTTGCATGCTGAATCATCTGCTTATGACCCAACATTTTCTTTGTTTACTGTTGATAAAATAGCCAAAGAGGCTGTCGAAAGTGTTGTGTTCACACTAGAGTCATTTGTAGCCTTTCAGTTTAAACAGGACTTTAAATGTAAATTCTCTGAAATAGTGAAATTCCCGGTTGAAAACATTCCTAGCGCACAACAGACACCATTCTTAAGGCCTCTCTCATCTCAGATAGCACATGAAATAGAAGCCTCATCTAAAACATTTGAACGTGAAATGCCAGGAGTTACAAGTAAAAGAATGTTAGACCAATCGCAGAGTTCGTCGGATGTATCAAGTGTAAGCAGTATGATTACAAAGGAAAGCATAGAGAATGCTATTGGCCAAGTGCAAAGTTTCCATTCAGAACTGAACATTTACGCCACAATGGCTGTTAATAATGTCCTGGACATCTTCAAGCGGAAGCTAGAAAAAGAAATCAGCCAAAGACAAACTGTCCCATTTTATGACGACTCCGAAGAAAACACAATGGCAGGTGAGATCATCGGTGCTGTATTAGATCAATGCGCTCAGCGTCAAACTGAAGTTACTTTGGAGCAGAAATTTGGGACTCTTGAAATGGAAAAATCTGGACGAGCTTTTAGAAATAGTAAAACTCTCAGTCAAGGTATTGCAGCATCTGAAGGAATAAAACTGCCTGCTAGAAAATTAAAAGAAATTAAAAGAAAAGAAATTGATCTAAGGGGAAACTTTCCACCTATCAATGTTCCTGGAATGGTGATTTATTCTGAGGAAGAAACTGAAGTGGAAGAGGATATTCCATCTCATCTCTGTCCAACAATCCATAAGTGCTCAGAACAGGATGCTTATACAACAGAGGTGACCAAAAAGTCTACTTACTACATATCAGCTCCCACAAGAGCTTCTAGACCATCGCTGGGAACAATAACTAAACAAAGGGCAATTAGCTCCCGGATGACCCTACCCCCTATTGGTAAGCAGTTTTCAAGAAAACCCTTCTCTCCCCTGGTCACAATAAAATGTCCCAGAGATGAAGCAAAGCATAGGCAGGTATATGAAGGACATTGTGAGTTCATGCCAGCACATGAAACCAAGTGTCAGCCATCACAATCACTGGATGATGCGTTACCTGCAAAAGGAGTTGAAGAAATAATAAGCAGAGTGGTGACTACAGTCTTAAACTCAGTTTGCAGCACAAGCCTGGAATACACAAAAAGTTTATCGAAAACGGAAGTGAATGAGATTACGGAAACACTTAAACAGTCGGTAGAAAAAATAATGTCCACGAATAAAATCAGTCTTGTTGGAGCTGCAGATGAAGATCAAGATTTAAGTCCAGAGCATGGAGATACTGTCACTCACGTGGTTGACAACATTTACAGTAATGTCTTGCAAGAATCTGGATCTCAGACAGCCCTTGATCAGGATGTGACAAGTTCCAGAACAATTTTTCCTGAGCAAACAGATAGTATAGTACTTCATGAAATCTCCAGTGCCCATCTATTAGATTATTTTACTGAAAACCTCAGTGCTACAGAGCTTGACAGTACTGCTGGCAAAGATCTTTTACCAGTCTCCATTCAGATAAATATTGATTCCGGAAGTTCTGGAGAGTCAATGAGAGTTGAAAATGAAAATAATAATGCAGTAGAAACCGTGCTGCAAGTGGAAGAACTACCAATTGAAATAGTCCCTTATATTGGAGACAAACCATTAGAGGTAGATCCAAACCTTATTGCAGACCATTTAGCCGTTATTTCCATAAAAACAGACGCTATTGAGAAACTGAATGAAATACGCCAAAGTCACTCTAGAATGCAACTGCTAGATCTAAGAAGACCATCCATATCTAAGCACAGTTTGCTAAGTTCAGGTACTGATAGTGATATAGAGAGGAAGAGAGAAAGACGCTCCTCCGTGAATGCTTTAGGACGACTAGACGTCAAACCAAAGGAAGTAAGTCAAAAGAAGGAGTCATTTTCATATGCAGATTAAGAAATTATTTATCATACTGTCATGACAATCCTGATCCAGGAAAATATTTAAGTACGAGACCCATGGAAGTCAATGAGACTACTTGTGATTTTAAGCATCTCATGGGATTAGCACCTAGGGCCTTAATTCAGCAAAGCACTTGAGTAAAGGCATAATATTAGGCATATGCATCTGTTCTGTTGAAGTCAGTGGGGCTAGGAGAGGCTTAAAATAAAGCATATGCTTTAACAGATTTACAGAATCAAAGCTAAATCATCTGGTTGTGCGCATTGTACTTGGACTTGCTAGCTTATGCAGCCTTCATATTTTATTCTCATCTCTTTTCATTCAGAGGTTTAAATACAATAAAGTAGAAACAGTACACTAAGAGAATAATGCTGATTTCTACCCAGGAGTTTCTTTGCCATGTTGGTAGCAAGTCTAGTCCGGATGGTAACAGAGAAGTAGCATGCCTAACAATGTTCCCTCTAAGCTTTCCCATCCATGTGCAGAATACATTTTGTCATGTGCCTCAAGGCATGTGCAAATGTGCACCACCAGTAGAAACACATACTTCTGGCTCTGCTAATCAGCTGAGTGGCATTTGAATCTCTCCTGGGTGCCTGCACAAGTGCTCACCTTACAGGGATCACTGGTGTCTAGTGATTAGTGCAGGGAACTTAGAGTCAAGACTCCTAGATTAATATTCCCAAAAAAGCTCCTGACTTCTTGTGTGAGCGTGAACAAATCACTCAGAGCCAGATTCTGATGGCCTTATTCAGGCTGAGTGGTACCACGTAACTTGGTGGCAGCATCTGGCACTAAGCCCCTCTCTGGCCTACAGATTCTTCATTTGTCTCGTAGATACTAGGCATGAAATCTTGTCCCCACTGAAATCAATGGCAGAACTGCCACTGGCATCAGTGAAGACAAGATTTCACCCTACCAGTGTCGGCTGTTTCCTCTCATAGTTACCTTTCCTGTGGTCATTGCCTCAGCCAGCAGCAGGGACCGAGGATGTTAAGAAGCGGGTAATTGACTAATCGTGTAGCCGATACAATTTGTACTGACTACACGATGAGTCGATTACGGGCCCCGCTGCGGCTCCGAGTTTAAAGGGGCCGGGTGGCAGCCTGGTTCCTACTACATTTAAGGTGCAGCTCCCAGCTCAGCTCTTACTACATTTGAAATGCAGAGCTGCGGTGATCCGGACCCGGCGTGAGCCGGAATTGAGCTGTCCCGGCTTATACTGGGTCCTGGACCATTGCGCCTCTGCCTCCCTTTCTCCCCACCTCCCCTGCATTGCAGAGACAGTGCTGGGGGGAACTGGCTTTTAAGTCGGCTCCCCCCAGTACCGGCTCTTACTTCTCCCCCTTGCTGCTTCTGTTACAGAGGCAGTAAGGGGGAAGCAAGTTGTCAAATAGTGACTCGACTGCCTGATATGTCTAGGCTTATCGGTAGTCAACTACTCGACTAGTCGCTTACATCCCTTGAGGGGACAGCCTTTATTTAAATATAAAGTCCTGGTTTCAAATCCAAAGTCCTGATTTTTCCTGTGTACCCAAGGAAAAACAATGTATCCAGAAGCAAGGCTGAAACTCACTCAACTGTCTTGTTATCTAATTAGTGACCAATAGACAAATTGGAAGAAAAAGGACTCTGAAATACAGTTCCCTTCAAACGCTCTCTCTTCAACAACAGGTTGTTTGCAGAAATTCATTTCAGAACCTGAAGAAACCTGACGTCTCCAGGGTGGAACTTCTAAAGGATGTCAAGAGCAAGGATGACCTGATCCTACGACTCGTCACCTATGATATTGAACATGATCAGGAAGAGGATATTGAAAAAGTCGTAAACGTTGACTCTGCGTTTGTTTTTGAGAGCGAGTCAGATACAGGAATGGAAGAGGAAGTCACATCTTTTCACAAGAGTAACCCCATAGCTAGTACACAGGATAATTTAACCAATTCCCAAGGCCCTGAGAAAGTGAATCAATACAAGGTGAGTGGAGTAAATGAAATCTTTACTATTTCACCTGATTACACTGGGTCAAGTCTGGTTCCCACAAAAATCAAGACTAAAACTCCCAGGCTGCATCTAGACTGGCAAGTTTTTCCACAAAAGCATCTGCTTTTGCGGCAAAACTTGCCAGCTGTCTACACTGGCTGCTTGAATTTGCGCAAGAACAGTGACAATCTCATGTAAGATTGTCAGTGTTCTTGCGGAAATACTATGCTGCTCCCATTCGGGCAAAAGCCCTCTTGCGCAAATGCTTTTGCGCAAGAGGGCCAGTGTAGACAACGCGGTATTGTTTTGCGCAAAAAAGCCCCGAATGCAAAAATGGCGATCGGGGCTTTCTTGCGCAAAACTGCGTCTAGATTGGCATGGATGCTTTTCCGCAAAAAGTGCTTTTGCAGAAAAGTGTCCGTGCCAATCTAGATGCTCTTTTCTGCAAATGCTTTTAACGGAAAAACTTTTCTGTTAAAAGCATTTGCAGAAAATCACGCCAGTCTAGACGTAGCCCCAGTGAGTGTAGAATCAGACCCCAAGGGCACAAAGTGCAGCTCCTCCTACAGACGGGCCATTTTCCATCAGGCTGCACAAAAGTAAGAAGCAGGTGTTTATCAGAAGAGGGAGAACATAGAGAACTGAATTTGCAGTTGATACTGATCAATATAACTGAACATCATATTGCACAATGGAACCGTAACAGGGATTATTAAATGGTACGGACTTTTGTCTGTCATCTTGTCCCACATGGAATCTCACTCCCCTGTCTTATAGCATGTATTCCTAACTTGAGTATTTGTCCCTGGGATTATTTTTGATCTAGCTGTTGCCTAAATTATTTTCTAGCTTTTCATTAGAATTCGCCATGGGTTCACCTCCCATTATTGCACTGAGTCTCCTGTACACAACAGTACTATTCAGGTGATTTTACCCTGAATTAAAGAGAGGCAAGGGATCGAAGCAGGAGAGATGAGTGAGCCAGGAACTGGAATATTGTGAGAAATAAATATCGATATTTTTCAGATTACGGAAGAAACTAACTTGTCTGTCCCTAAATTGAAAGTGACTTTGGCCAGCTTCCCCTTGGACACAGACCTGCTGTCCGCTCTAAGAAAGGACAGCCTGCATTTAAGGTAACTATTTCAGGGCTAACAAGAGGGGGATCTGGGCTTAATGGTGGGGGTTTCAATAGGTCCCACTCCCAGGGCAGGGCTGTCCCTACATTTTATGGGGCTCTTTCTGAAGTGACACAGGGCTCCATGCAATTTTCTACTCACCAGCCCTGACTGCTCTGCAGCACAACAGGGCCAAACTCCATGGCACTGATTCCTGCGTTCCACAGCAAAGCCCATTTATTCTGTCACCAGGAAATAGCCTTTGCTTCCATCTTTTAATTAATAATAATAATGGAGATTGCCTATCGCCTAGAACTGGAAGGGACCTTGAAAAGTCATCAAGTTCAGTTCCCTGCCTTCACAGCAGGACCAAGCACCATCCCTGACAAATTTTTGCCCCAAATGGCCTCTGCAAGGATTGAACTCTCAACCCTGGGATTAGCAGGCCAATGCTCCAGCCACTGAGCTATCCCTCTACCTGCTAGCACACCTGATGAAGTGTGCAAGTGATTCATTCTGAGGACTGGGCTTTTTGCTATGTTCCCTAGACATCCCAGCCCCACATGGCTTAGGGCAGCCACGGCAGGGAGGCGCTGTGGGGGGTGAGCCTTGCACTCAGCTCTCACAGAACTTCCTCCGCTGCTGTGGACGTTACAGGGCAGGGAGGGGCTCAGTGTTTCTCAGGAGGGCAGGGGGCTAAAAGACACCAGCTGTCAGTCGGGGTAAGCTATTCATAGTTTCAGTATTGAACTCTATTTAGCATTGCGGCTCACGTGCTGCGTCCCTGCCGAACCACACGCAGAGTTGGTAGGGGGCATGTGCACTCTGACCATGTAGGGGCTGCTGACTGCAGGACCAGTCTCTAGTTACTTATACCAGATTCCTGTAAGTTTCCCCAATACCACAGTAGAGATCAGTGCCTGGGGCAGGCTCTCTGCCTTTCCCCTGGTCATGCCTCCTTTGCTAGCACCAAGGTGAATGGGAGCTGGCATAAGACCCCACGTAGCAGCCCCATGCTCTCGGGTCCTGGGATGTTCCTCCTGAGGCTAGACACATCAGGGATCCAGCTAGTGGCATGGCACAAAGTGACTGCACCCTGGTGTCGGAACCCCTGCCCAGCTGCTGGCACAAGCTACCCATGCTCTCCCCACCTAGCACTTCCAATCAGTAGAGAGCCCTAGATGGGTCTAGACGCAGCACTGAAAAGGGAGCTCTGGGATCTGCCCTCGGACACCTTGCGTGGCCTGAAATGCTGCTGTTAGCAAGGCCCTGTCTACAAGCGTAGCCTGGCGCTGCCCTCCCTTCTGGGTTTTAAAAGGGTCGGGGGTCGGCTTGTTCACCTCCCTCCTGAGTTTGTTGCAGCTTTTCCGTGCTTCTTCCTTACCAGGAAGCTAATTAGCTGACAGCCAACCTTGCAGTCAGGGGTCCCTGAAGTCAGAACTAAAATGTGCCATTTCTGAAAGCACTCCAGTGATTTACGAGCATATGACTCATTGAAAGTCAACAAGTCATGGATCAAAATCCAGGTCATGGGTGGTTGGTGAAGGAAGGGCTGTGGGAGGCAAGCTTCCAGCCCCGCCCCTTCTACTGAGGCCCCGCCTCTACAGGAGTCAAGCTGCCCCCCCCCCCCCCCCCCCACGGCAGAGACAC